ACTGAACTGAACTTCCAAGACTCCACACTCAGCTGGAAATGATGTTATGAGCAAAGCTCTGCCTTTGGCTGCCTCTTTCCCTGTGTATGTTGGGGAGAGGTGGGGCGCGATGTGGGGACAGGGCTTAGGGAAGGGAGAGGTGTTGGGGGGGCAGGAGCTGGTTAAGGGCCTGAGCCTAGTGTTTTTAGTCCCCTGATCAAATACCATGTCACTCTCACCCCCACCCACCCAATATTCAAATCAATGCTCAGGTTTACACAGAAAGACAGCAAGTTCCGTTCTGCATGTGGAACATGCAGATGATGCTGCAAAGAGTTATGCAGTTGGAAATGAGGGTCTGGAGCTCAGAAGAGAATGGGGATGGAAACAAAAAGATTTCAGGGTCATCAAGGGCTAAAACAAGAAAGAAGTCTGCCCAGGAAGGAGTGTAAAGCAAGAAGGGTGAGGGGGCAAAAGGCCATGGCCACCAGAATACTTAAAGTGTGTGGGGGGTAGGGAGGTCCTTAACAGTCTTCTCAAAAAATTAAAACTATTAATTAATATGAACTATATAAAGACAAGGTCATCATAATCAGCGGTCCTCAAGAAATGTCCTCAGAAGACAACTCCTAACTCTTAATGTTTCAGGTGATTTAGAGACAACTATGAAAAGCTCTTCCCAAAGTCTCATTAACACCACCACATTCTCAATTTCTTTTACCATTTTTTAAAGCACAGGAAATTGACAATCTTGTGTGAGCTTCAGGTGTAAGCAAAGTAACTCAGTTATATATATGTGTGTGTATGTGTGAATATATATATATTTTCTTTCAGATTCCTTTCATTATAGGTTATTACAAGATACTGAATACAGTTCCCTGTGCTACCACATTCTCTTAGGTACCTGGGCGACCTGAATGGCTTTAACCCTAAAACGGACAGCAACTCTTTGCACAGGCAGGACAAAGCCCCTCCAAGCATCAGGACGATGTGCACAAGCCTGTCGGCACTGCGTGCTAGGTTCTACTTCAGGATGTTGCCATCAGTCTAAGAAGGTCCACTCCCAGCCAGAGACGGGGGCCATGGAAGGGGGTGAACAGGTAAGAAGGATGGGAAGCAGGGCCATGATGTCCTTTAAAGGGGGTATTCATTCCCATTCCAGAAACTCTGTGACTACCAGATCACACTAATCCACACTGAAAGGTAAGGACACACTCAATACAATGCATGATCCTTGACAGAATACTGAATCAGGAAAAATAAAAAAGCTAGAGAACAAGGAAACGGTAAAATTTAAATATGGACGACATACTGGTTTTATGTCAAGTATCCCAAGTGATATGACTGGAGTATAGTTACACACCCTTTCTCTAGGAGTTGAAGTGTCACCACATCTGCAAGAAACTCTCAAAGGGTGTGGCTTTAGAAAGAACGAGACATGCAGCTTCCCTGGCGGCTCAGTCGGTAAAGAATCTGCCTGCAACGCAGGAGACCCAGGTTTGATCCCTAAGTTGGGAAGATCCCCTGGAGAAGGGAACAGCAGCCCAAGCCCGTATTCTTGCCTGGAGAATCCCATGGACAGAGGAGCCTGGCAGGCTATAGGCCAGGGGTTGCAAAGAATCGGACACAACTGAGCTACTTTCACACTTCACACATACAGACAGGGAGAAAAATATAAAGCAAATTTGGCAAAACATTAATCATTGGTGAATCCAGGTAGAGGGGACATGGGTGTTAAGGTACAATTCTCTTAACTTCCTTTCTGCAGGTTTGCTATTTTTCAAAATACAAAGTGGCAAGGGGTATCAATGCTGTCAAATATTTTAAAAGTTTTAAATTTCCTTATGTTCCAACTCCCCTCTATTAGAACAGAGTATGAAAGCTTGACATGAAAATGCTTCACAACACTTAAAATACTACCCCTACACACAGATAAAGTTATTTGGCAAAGAGGAATTATTTCACATGCACAAACCATGTCTGTTTCTATACCACAGCAATAAAGTCCTGAGTCACTACACAGATTAACAGAATCTGGGTATTATTTTTGGGGTTTACCGTTCATGTGCTGTTGGCGAAGGGGAAGGTAAACCTTAGGAATACTTTAAGAATCTAGGTACTCTATGTAGAGTCTTTGTTTTAAAGGGTATATTAATACTTGTTGGTTTTATACAAATACCAAGAGTTAAAGGCAAATTTAATTATCTGGGCTAATGAAAAACAGTACAGATAAATCAAATCCATATACAGACATTGTTTCAATCATTGGGTTTTAACTTCTGAAATCTTTCATCAGAATTATAAGGAAGCAAAACTGACCAAAAAGTTTCATCTCCATCCATTCTCATTTCTAAAGGAATTTCTATTTAATGACAAAAAGGAGAGAAGCAATTGAAATAAAAATGCCCTAACAACTCAACTATGGGTACCCAAACAAAAGAAAACTGACTTTAACCATGGCAAATATTTATTGAGAAACTGCTACCCACAGCTCTCTATGAGGAATTCAAAGTACAGCAACTGGACTTTGCACTCATGGGGCCACAACTTTATTGGAGAAGACAAACACACAGCAAACTGAAGAACAATAACAATGGTTGACTCTGTCTTTCCTTATCCCTGCTCCTAATGCCTCAATTCAGAGACTTATCTCCTAGCCAGGCCATTAATGGCCTCCCTCATTCATTAACCAGTTGGTCAAGCCTCTCACAACCACTGGTGCTTAACTTGAATGCACACTGGAATCACCTTAGAAGTGATCAAAATTCCAGTGCCTGGGTATCTCTTCCAGGGAAATCTGCTTTTCTGGTGTGCAGACTGGGCACTGGCTCTTTTAAAGCTTTCCTGGCGATTCTGATACGCAGTCATGTTTGAGCGCCACTGTTTTAAACCAACTGCTTCTACCAAGGATGGAATACAATTCACTCTCCTGCATTTAGGTCTCTGATGGCTCCTCACTACCAATACAAATCTAAACTCCTTACCGCAATCTCCAAAGCCTTTCAATGTCTCCAACCTACTCCTCCAGCCGGACCTCCCGCCCAGCTCCACAGCTCTCCACCAGACTCCGGCTGTTCCCTCAGAGGACACTTCCTATGCATAAAAGGCTTCTTCAAATCAGACACCAGTGCCAATCTGATTATTTACTCCAAATCAATTTTCAGGAACCAATTTAAAATTTCCTTCCTTTCAAAAGCCTTCACCAGCTTCCCTGGGTACATGGGGAGTTCTAACAAAACTGGACACGGCTCTAATTTGACATGTATCACAATGTTGGTAGTAGCAGTTTTTATTTCCATCTCTAGTAAGACTGTGCTGTTCCTCAAGGACAGAGGCCAAGTGCATTTATCTTCAAGTTCCTAAAGCCCAGTAATGATTGAAACAAAATGAAAGTTCAATATCTGTTTACTAAGTACTGAGGCACCACATGCTTGTGGAATAAAGGAGTAACAGCATGAGAAAAGACAAGTCAGTTACGTAGGCAAGTAGGCAAACTCTGACTCCCAAAGTGAAGTGGGGAGAGAGAGTGCTTCTAGCAGATACAGGGGGGGAAGGCCCCATGAAGACACCAGGCCTATTCTCAATCTCACAGAAAGGAGAATATCCAGCTCTTTGTCAGAGCAAGGGACAGAGCACCAGGAGCCCAGAAAACAGCAGATACAGCCGATGGCACAGGAAAGCCACCGAGCTCTGTCCGGGGCTTCCCTGCTGGCTCAGAGAGTGACCAAGGATCTGCCTGCAAGGCGTGAGACCCAGGTTCTACCCCTGGGTTGGGAAGAACCCCTGGAGAAGGGAAGTGCAACCCACTCCAGCATTGTTTATGCTTCCCTGCCGGCTCAGACAGTAAAGAATCCACCTGCAATGCAGTAAACCCGGGTTTGATCCCGGGGTTGGGAAGATCCCCTGGAGAAGGGAATGGCTACCCACTCCAATATTCTTGCCTGGAGAATTCCAGGGACAGAGGAGCCTGGTGGGCTACAGCTCATGGTGTCGCAAAGAGTGGGACACAACTGAGCAACTAACAAACTGGGTTTCCTCCAGAGATTCCATCCTTCCCCCGAAAAAAACACTGACCTTTAGAAATTAATCATGCTTTTCTTAGTTATGTAAATCTATTCTCTGTCTCCTTATCCTGCTTTATTTTTCTTCTTAGTCAGCCACCTGATATATCATGGTTATGCATATTCAAAGAAGACTAGAACATAAGCTCCATGAGAGAAGGAACTTGATTCTGTTTACCACTGCAGCCCCAAGGCTTATATCCGTGCTGAGCACAAAGTAAAGGTTCAACACACATTTGCTGAATGGATGAATGAATATATTTATTATGCCCCTGGATCTGATCTTTCCTTTCATGCAGAGATCGGCTCCCTTTCTCACCCAGTCTCCACATATCCAAATCCTGCATCTTTCCTACCTGAATAGATGCCCGGTCTGACTCAAAGCCTTCTCTGACTCCCCATCCTCCCTTTTCTGAATTTCCAAAGCCCTTTATCTTTCGGTCTTTGACACTTTTTATGGGCTACTTCATAATAGCACAGATACCTGTGTACAGGTATCTGCTGTACATGTAGACATGTATCTCACCTCCCCTCTATACTGTAAATTCTTTAGGGGCAAGCTCTAGGTCATTTCCTCCCCAGAGCTTATAAAGTTGCTCAGTAATTCCTACTGAACAAAAGGGAAAATTAAGGGTGGTATTAAGTCTTTGATATCTTAATATTAACCTCCGAAAGATTAAAATCAGTAGTGACTTATCTCCACCTTAGCCCTCGGATACCTGACCCTTCATAAAATGATAATATCTAATGCTTAAATCATGCTTACAGTGCGCCAGGTACTGTTCCGAGGCATTACATAAATTAACTCATTTAATCCTCGAAAGAACCATGAGACACGGGATCTCTCCCTACAGAGGAGGAGACTGAGGCGCGGAGAGTGAGCACCACAGCCCGGAGGCCGGCCCCAGAGCCCAGGCGCTTCAACCGCCGCGGGCGGGCGGGCTCCGGCTCACAAGCCGAATGTGGCCTTCTGAGAAGGTCGCTTCAAAAGTAGCAGACATGCGAAGGTATTTACGGCAAGGAACTCTCCCCATCGCGTCAAAGACGGAATTTCAGAAGGCAACAAGAGCAGAGAGCAGATGACAGAGGAGGAACGGGGGTGTGCAGCACAACGCTGGGAAGGGGAAATGCTGGGGACGGCAGAGGCGTCTCTCCGGAGGAAGGGACGAGACAGAGGGGCAAGCAGGAGTCCCGACATGGAGCTGTCGCAGGCAGAGCCCGCGTTCCAGACACCTTCCGCACCGGGGCGGCGCGGCACAGAAGGGCGGCAAACCGCAACCGCTTGAGAACGTCGGGCTCAGGACCGCCTGGCGGCCCAGCGGCAAAGAACCCGCCTGCCGGTGCAGGGGACACACGCTTGCCCCCTGCTCCAGGAAGGGCAGCTGCACCTGAGCACCCTCGGGCCGGTGCTCAGCATCAAGAGGAAGCATCACGAGAAGCCTGAGCACCACAACCAGAGAGGAGTCCCCACCGGCAGCAACGAAGCCCCAGCGCAGCCAAAAATAAAGAAGCAACTACCAAAAAAACTGCAGGGGGCTTCCCTGCTGGCTCAGTGGTAAAGAGTCCGCCGGCCAATGCAGGAGACAGGGGTTCAACCCCTGATCGGGGAAGATCGCCCATGCCACAGAGCAACTAAGCCCATTACTGAGCCCCAGGGCCCCGAGTACCCAGCCCTTGTGCAGCAACTACTGAAGCTGCACGTCCCAGGGCCTGTGCCCCCGCGAGCAGCGAAGACACCGCGACGGGAAGCCAGCGCACTGCAGCGAGAGAGTAGCCCCCGCTCACCGCGGCGAGAAAAACCTGCGCAGTGACCAGACCCAGCACAGCCAACGAAAAACTCAGTAAAATAAATAAAAAGAATGTTGGGCTCAAACTGCCTAGGTGACTAGCTCTGCAATTACAGGCAAGTAACTTAACTCCTCTACCTCCGCTGCCTCAACTGTGACATGGGCTAGCATCACCCTCCCTTGGCCAGAGGGTGAAGAAGTCCATGTGTATTCTTCAGGATGAGCTTGCTTATGCTGCAGTTAAGATTCCTGTTTAAAAAGCGCAGTGGCCTCAAGTATGGGCTAACTGGCTTATACTGTGTAACCACTGATTTCTTTCGGGGGGGCGGGGGAAAAAGTATCTGCCTAGAAGTGTCTCACATGACTTCCAGTCAAATTTCAGTATCCAAAGCAAGTCATGTGGCCACGCTGAACTTCAAGGTGATGGAGTGCAATTCTACCATGTACCGAGAAGAAACAGAAGAACAGCCTTAACAACCAGCAAACCATGAAGGAACCTCGCACCATGCCAGGTGCTCACTAAGCCACCAATGACCGAGTAGCTGCTGTTACTATTATCATGATTATTGAGGGCTCAGGGAAAAAAACTTATTCTATGAACCCTAAGGCCTAAAGCTGAAGGAATATGCAGATGTGAGAACCACCTCTCAAACACGTTATCTGCAATAAAACAAAGGTGAATCTACAAGCATCGCAACAGGATATAATGGAAGGACATGCCAAAAAGTTTCTAGTAAGCAAAGAATAGTAAACACGAGTTACCAAAATAGAATCACAAGCCTTTGACCACGGTATCAGGGAAGGACACGCCAGAATGTTTCTAGCAAACAAGACATAGTAAACAAGAGTTACCAAAATAGTGCCAGTCATTCTGACTCCTTTAGGACATGTAAAATTTCATTGATAATATCTCTACTCTATTTTAGAGAACATAAGAAAAATAATGCAGCCTTTCAAAAATTCACTTCTAATCTCCGAGCACTCCTTCCCCACCTTTCTCCACAAGTTCTTAAGGGAACTCCTCCTATGTGCGTTTTTAGGACCCTAACCATCAGAGTTTGGGCAAGAGTCCTATTTAGTGAAATGAGAACTGAATCCTAACTTGACCGTAACCTAGTTCTATGACCTAACAAATTTTCTGACTAGGACTCTCTTCCATCATCCATGTGCGTGTTCAGTCGCTGGAGTTGTGTCCAACTCTTTGCGGCCCCGTGGACTGTAGTCTGCCAGGCTCCTCTGTCCATGGGAGGATTTTCCAAGCAAGAATGCTGGAGCGAGTTGCCATTTCCTCCTCCGGAGGATCTTCCCAACCTAGGGATCGAACCTGCATCTCTTGGGTCTTCTGCATCGGGCAGGTGGATTCCTTACCACTAGTGCCACCTGGGAAGCCCCTTCATCATCCATAAGATAACAATAGTGACTAGATGGCCTCGAAGTCCCTTTCAACTCTACTCTTCTGCAGTCCTGAGAAACCAGAAAGAAGTTTTGGTTTAGAAGAATCCAGTGAAGACGCTGAATTATGTAAGACTTGATAACACTTAAACTTTAAACTAGAAATAACTGCCATAATCACAGCTATGATGGTAGGAACAAAGCTTAGTTCAAGAGTGAACAATGGAAGAAAAGTCAAGAGCACCCGGGGAGAGCCCTGCGAGTGTGAAATGTCGAAAGAAGAGCAGATAAGGATGGACAGAGTATGACTATCATGTGTAAATGAGGAGTCTGGTGTTTCAGCATGGCTTATGAAATCAGTTTTTTTAGTAACATCTCATACAACATTCCAGTCATAGCTCTGCAAATCAGCAATGGTGATGGAGACAAATCTGAAGCAATGAACCTCTGAAACTTCAAGGCTTGGGATCTGTCAGCTACCAGATCTCAATTCCAACAGACTGGGTTTTCCAATTCCTTAAGACCCCAAAGCAGTAATCCAAATATGTGCCTAGGGATCAAGAACTTGAAATCCTTTGGAGAAAGTCCAACAAAAGAGCTCAAAGCTGCACGTTACAAAATGTTAAGTTCTCCAAATCAGTGGTAACTTGTGTCTCAGCTGAACAGAAGCCCCAGCCCAGACAACCTACCACAAATCTCAAGTCACTCTGAGAGAATAAGACTGTCTCCTACAACAGAATTAAAGGGAAAACAGTGTTGCTTTTTAATGAAAACTCACGTTCATGCCATAAACAAAGCAAGGGCCACTGCTGCATCAGCAACGTTGCTCTGCCTGCAGCCCTATCTACAATCTTTAAGAAGCCTTCTGAGTCTAATATCTATGAGTGTAAAAAGTGTATGGAACACTCCTACTGTCTCTCATGCTTCAAGAGTCACTGCTGAATGAATAACAATCTCCTGCTTGAAAACCTAAAACCTGGCAAATTAATTTAAGAAAATTACAATATCCCTAGAAAGATCCATTTTATTATGTCTAGACAACATTTTAAAAAGCTATAAATCTACCTGCGAATTTTCATTTACTTAAAAAAAAAAATATTTATTTGGCTGCCCCTGGTCTTAGCTATGGAACTGGGGATTTTGGGATTTTCACTGCAGCATCTTTAGCTGTAGCACATGGGATCTAGTCCCCTGACCAAGGATCGAACCCGGGCCCCCTGCAACGGGAGCACAGAGTCTTAGCCACTGGACCACCAGGCAAGTCCCTTCACTTACTTCTATAGCCATGTTTCCTTCCACCTTGTCAATCACAAAATACTTTCCAATTCTGCAATGGATGTTAACCAATAAACATATTTTGCCTCAATGGTATCCTTGATTTTAAGGGATTTAAAATTTGAAGTATAAATAGATGGGGCTGGAGGCAGGGAAGCATACACAAACCCTGAATGAGTAAAAGAAATCCTTTCCCTTAACCAATCAACTTTTAAATATATTGGAAGAGGACAGAAGATAAGGCTCAATCCTTCAAGGGAAGTTTGGTGAATATTATTAAAGACAAAGATTATACCTTTATAAACTGAAAAACCATCCTCTAAGAAAGCTGGTAAACCAGAAATACTTTACATAGAAAAAATCTCCATTAACTAGTCTAAAGTAATGAGAACCCTCAACACCAGCATTTTATATTGAGAATTAAGTGTTGCACTTAAAAGCTGCCTGTAATAAATCTTTGTAAGAAAGAAAAAAGCTTCAGCAGTCATTCTGAAAGACATGAAAGGTCATAAGGCCTCGCATGAAAACCTACCTTGCTGTTTACAAAACCTTAGAAGACACAGATCTAAATTTATTTTCTGATCCTACTATTTTCTTAACAGCAAATCAACTTTTAGATAAAAATAAATAGGTATATATAAATGGAAAAAATAGTGTCAAACTTTATTATATGACTTGTTTAGTCTCATTTCAGGCTAAAGAACAGTCTTGCCCCATATTGTATTTTCCTTTCTAAACAAATAGAGGGAAAAAAAATCCATTATTTCCCCCCAAATGTTAGGGAGTGGGGGAGGTTGTTAAAGGGTCTAGAGCTGTGCTGTCAAATGCCAGGGCCACTAGCCATATGTGGCTATTTAAACTCTAACTAATATTTTAAATAAAACTTTTAATTCTGTTCCTCAGTCAAACCAGCCACCTTTTAGGAGCTTCAAAAGCCACATGTGACTAGTAGGTCCTGCACAGATACAGGACATTTTCCATCACAGCACAAAGTTCCACTGACAGTGTTGACCTAGGACAACATTTCTCACATTTAAAGGTACACAAAATCATCAGGCTAGCACGTTATAACACATTATAACACACATTACTGGGTCCCTAACCCGGGAGTTTATCTCAGGGGTCTGAAAGTGAAGGTGTTAGTTGCTCAGTTGAGTCTGACTCTTTGCGACCCCGTGGACTGCAACCCTCCAGGCTCCTCTGTTCATGGGATTCTCCAGGCAAGAATACTTAAGTGGGATGCCATTTCCTTCTCCAGGGGATCTTCAAAACCCAGGATGAAACCCGGCTCTCCTGCACTGCAGGCCGATTCTTTACCCTCTGAGCCACCAGGGAAGCCCCAAGAACACTGGATAGTAGCCATTTGCTTCCCCCGGGGATTTTCCCACCTCAGGGATCAAACCTGCGTTGCAGGGAGAAGCTTTACGGTCTGAGCCACCAGCGATGGGGTCAAAAAACCTACATTTCTAACAGTGCCCCAGCAGGACGCTGATGTGCCCATCATCTCAAGTAGTACAGTACCCTATAATAAAGGATCAGTTTGTGTGTCTTCTTAATCCACCTTTAACCAACACTTTGATAAAATGCTAGAAAAGCTAATTACCAGGAAAAATTATTTTAAACAAGGACCACACCATAAACTTACATTTTTTATTATCAGATTCAACAAACAAACCATTTTTCTTAAAAATATTGCTTCTGTTTAGTCGCTAAGTCATGTCTGACTCTTATGCAAACCCATGGTCTGTAGCCTGCCAGGCTCCTCTGTGCATGGGATTTCCCAAGCAAGAATACAGGAGTGGGTTGCCATTTCCCTCTCCAGGGGATCTTCCCAACCCAGGAATCAAACCTGCATTGCAGGCAGATTCCTTACCGCTGAGCCACCAGGGGAGCCCAAAAAATGTTATAAAAACAGTCAATTCTTACAAGTTTTGAACTTACCTCATCACAGACAGGCAACAAACAATCCACAGACTTGCAAGGATCCAGACTAAGTTTGAGCAGCTCTGATCTATAAGAGCTGATTTTACGATTTTTACGATTATCTTTCTGGAGCTGGTCATTAATGATCTCTTTCATATCCCCTACCATTTCTTCAATGTATTTTTACAACTTGAGGCATAAATGTTATTTCCATGAAGCAGAAACCACCCTCCACCATTAAATCACCCTCCACCTCCATTAAAATGGTAATATATGGGGTTTGCTCAAAGAAACAATCTGACAGGTCTTCATTTATAATGTGATCCAAAACTGTCACATGGTCAACAAAGATGATGGCTTGACTTTTTCATGCTAACCCAAGGTTGAGTTTAGATTGCTAACACTGCAAAAGTTAGTCAGCCAAGATACACAATGAACATAACTAGTCTCTGCATTAAACTCCATAAAATTTCTTCACTAAATAAAATCGATGATTTGGGACCTTCCTTACCAGACACAATCCTTCAAAGGACTTCCTAAGAATACTGATGGTTTCCCCAAACCCAAAGTGACCAGTCCAGGTATATCTCTTCACTTCTGTACTCTTAGGAAAGGAATACATCAAACAGAATCCCTGTATGGGACTCAATGCCCCTCACCAACTACCTAAAGCTTAGGTGTTTTTCTCATTCGTATATCAAACCAAACAGATTTTCCTCCTACTCAACTTCAAGTCTGGCCCAACAAACAGACTCCTAAGAGAAAATCTCCAGGATAACTTCAAGTTCGGCCACTTCCTAGAGACTACTCTGAGAATTTTCTGACTGCTC